TCTTCCAGGATGAAATGATTCTTGTGGGATACAGGAAATATCTCAGCTCGCATGCTGCTCTCTGCCCTGCCTCTCACTGCAGCAGAGGAGGAACTGCGAAAGATTAAGCTAAACGAGGTAAAAACACACTCACACCACATGAACACAGAAACAAGACATTTTCATTTTATTTAGTCACTCAGCATTTTCCATCATTTGGGGGGCTCGAGTCTGTTCCGAGATGGGCGTGGCATAGGTTCTTACAACTCCGAAAAGAGACGACACTATGTCGCTATTGGGTGCTTAAAAATATCTCACCTCCGCTCTGTTTCTGAATCACATATCTTGTGTGTACGATCAAAATCCTGTCAGAAACAGTTTAGAGTATCAATGAAGGGCAGCAATGCATCCCTGCGTACAGCACAAGGTCAGAAGTGGTGCAAGTGTGTATATGCTTGCCCGGCAGTATCGACAAAGCGCAAAGATGCAGATGCATTAGAACAGCAGGATGTGGGCAGTTATGAATCCATTGGGCTCAGACGGCACACACCCATAGTGCCATAACAATCCTTGTTTACAGTCATAATTCTCAATTCTGAAGTGGTGAAAGACAAGCTATGCACCATGTTGGGAGAGCTATATGCAAATGATCCAGTGATGGTGCCTTGCCGTGGTTGTCTGCAGTGATGAGATAATGAAATACCGTAAAGGAGGGCAGAAAAAAAACAGCATCTGAAGTTTTCACTTTTTTATGCTTTGTAGAGCTGCTCCCAGAAATTAATCACAAGTGAACCGTTCTTCGCATTTGAGAAACCATTTTTTGTAATTGCGGCTCTCCCAGCCTGCAGCAGACAAACACGCCATGTCTGTCTTACCTTGAAGTGCTTTGAGTTATGCACAATTAAAAGCAGCAGCAAAGGAAATAAGAAGTGAGGTTTGTGCTTGTCCCACTTGACCAGCTGTTGAAAGAAGATATTATACCATTAATCTGTACCGCCGAGATGAGAAAGAAGCTTTGGAATATGTATCATTGTCGTGTCTTGAAGCTGGCTGACTTTTACTGAGCAGATGGATGAAAGGGCCGCAATCCCTTTTGGTATGCGGGGTAGCAACATCTGAAGCTCAATCATGTCTGCACAGCATTTCATTTTGTGTGAAACAGGGCTCTAAAATAGATCCATCATATAGATAACAACAATCCACCAGTGTAATCCCCCCTTCTCCTCCCCATCATTTCGCAGCGGACACAAGCACAGGACCTCAGGAGCGTGTCAGTGATGCAAGGTTAAAGTGCCTCGTGTCCTGTGGTGTGTTCAGGTGCAGACGGGCATCAGCGTGGACACCAAGCAGCAGACTCTGCAGGGAGTGGCCTTCCCCGTTCACAAAGACGCAATCGCAGCGCTCGAGCGCTTTAGGGACAAAAGAATCAATTACGTTCAACTGGTGAGTACTTTTGGAGCAAATCGTTACTGAGTAGGTGACCTTTGCCGGATCAATCATTGTGTCTTTCATTGCACCTTGCTCGGGGAGAGAAGTTTGGGAGAATGTTTGCGGCCAACACAAGGAGGTAGTCATTTTGCCCCAAAAAGCCTTTGTTCCTCTCGTTGAAATTCAAAGGGTTGATATCACAACATCAGACCTGTACAAAGGAATTATTGTGCCACTGTAGCTGCTTTGTCTCGTTTCCCTTCTTGTCTGTTATCCTAAAAGCTTATTTTTTTAATCCAGAGAGGGCTTGGCTCAATAGCTGTCAAAGAAATGCTTAACTCAGACAGCTGAGAGCAACAGGGGGGTGTTGTTAGGGCCTGAGCCGACTGCAAGTCGGGCGAAAGCCCTATTGTGTTTCGAAGAGTTATTATTATTATTTCTTGCGCTAAATTGCACTTTTGAGGCCTTTAACATATTCAAAAACTCTTGAAATTTGGCTTGCGAATCAGAAGTATTTCTGGCTCTCTAGCGCCCCCTGGAAGTGCTCCCTCTGGGGAATTTTTTTCCCCAGTTTCACTGATTGACTTGAAAGTTTGCACACAGGTGCTCTTAGAAAAATTGACAAAAAAGTCAATCATGGTATGCAAATGCACCTAACTAGATTTTCTGCCATTTTGAATTTTTTGAAAAACCCGTTTTTGCGAACTCCTCCTAGATGCTGGCTGTGATTTTCACGAAACGTTCAGGAAATCATTATTGGCTCACTGCCACAAACGAACAAACTCCTCAGAGAGTTTAAACCCGATCCACTTCATTTTCGGGAAAATGACGTTGATGATAATTCACAGTGAATATTGGGAGTTTTTGAAAAACCGTGTTGCTGTGACGACACTGTTTTTGCATGAAAGTTCAAGCAGATACTTCGGTGCCTTGGCAAACTCAAAAACTCTTGAAAACTTCTGTCAATGTCCTATATGATGACATTAAAGAGCTGATGTGAAGTTTTGGCTCAAAAATGCTCAATCGCCTCCATAGAGTCTCCTGGCAGTTTTCAACTTTTCAATGAAGTAGACCCAGCGCCCTGTTGGACCTACATGAAAGACAATTTTTCGACATATCTATAATAGGGAGACGTAAAAGAAAGTCTCTTGGGACCATGCTCTAAAATGAACAGGAAGGCAGTTATAATTCTTTTGTTTGAATATTCCCTCTATTTTCCGCATATAATAGAAGCTATACTTTTGAAGACCTCCTCTCTGCGACTTTGTCACAGCCACTTCAAATTTTGACAAAACAATCTTAAGGCCTTGGTGATTAAAAGTTATTAAAACCTTTTCGTGTTACGCTGTTGCTGTGGGAACCTAATATTCAAGGTCAAAGCAGAAGTCCTTTTGAGGGACTAAATATGCTCCAATCTTTACTAAAATTTGAAAACACATTTACAGTTAAAGATGTAGTTACTTCATGTGATTTCAATGTTTCCAAACTGCGTTTTGGCTTGATACTGCCCCCTACACTTATTCATAAACTCTCTCCTGGAAGGTCTCCCTCCTACAGCTCTACGACCTCTGCAGTTCATGCAGCATGCAGCAGCTCGACTGGTCTTTAACCTGCCTAAATTCTCCCACACTACTCCGCTCTCTTCACTGGCTACCAGTGGTTGCCCGCATCCACTTCAAAACATTTTATCTCACGTAACGTGCTGTGAAAGGATCGATTCAAGTCTACATCCAGGAAATGGTCAACTTTAGGGGGCGCTGCAATCGTTCTCTGAACTTTTGCTCGTTTTTTGCGATTTCCATCGTATTTTGGATTTACAAACGAACAAACTCCTCCGAGAGTTTAAACCCGATCCACTTCATTTTTGGGAAAATGGATCCTTACAAATGGATGGTCAAAAGTTATTAAAATCAAGAGTTTTCGTGAAACTACCAGGGCGTGACCTCACGTCCATTTTGGTCGATTTCGGTCGATTTTCTTGAAAACTTAAAATGTTATAACTCCAGGGAACATTTTTATTTGTGGCCGAAATTTGTAATTCATGATGCTATTGTACGCCTTAAAGTATTCCCATGTAGTGATTTTCAAAAAATTATAGCGTCACCTATTGGCTTAGCTAAATGCAAAAGTTTTACACTTTAATGTGTATCTCCTAGCCATTTAATCCGATCAACCGCAAATCCTTGCATATAAGCCTTAAGGCTTTGATGATAGTTCACAGTGAATATTGGGAGTTTTTGAAAACCGTGTTGCCGTGACGACACTGTCTTCGCATGAAAGTTCAAGCAGATACTTGCTCAAAAAATGCTCAATCGCCTCCATAGCGCCCCCCAGTTTTCAATGTAGTAGCCCCAGCGCCCTGTTTGACCTACATGAAAGACAATTTTTGGACATATGTATAATAGGGAGACGTAAAAGAAAGTCTCTTGGGACTAAGAGGTAGCCCACAACAGTGCTGTGAGTATAGCTTCTCTGTACTGGCTCCGGAATGGAGGTGATCCTACATATTTCAATGACTTTTTGCAGGTCTTTGCACAGCAAAGCAAGTAGCCTACTGGTGTGGTATTCTGTTCATGAAGCCACAGACCCGTTCAAATCCCACACCCATTACTGGGTGCTACCACCATTACTAATACTACTACTAGTATTTCAAATGGTATTAATGCTAAATGACTCTTACTACTACTACTACTAATAGTAGTTGTACTAAAAATACTAGTTCTACCAGTATCAGTGACCCAGCAACTCATATTACTACTCTTACTACTATAAGAAAACATACTACCAGTATTTATACTGCTATTAATACCACAACTACTACTCATTTTACTACAAATACTACAATGACTAACAGTATGAATACTACAGATGATAAAGCTAGTAGTACTACTAACACTGTTCTAGTTTTTCTACTGCTATTAATACTAAAACTACTACGTATTCTAATGCTAATATTATCACTGCCAAAATCACAATTATTACTAATATTACTACAAAAAAATACATTTTTTAAGACTCAACTCAGCTTTTGTCATTTCTGAATTTTCAGCAATATTTAAATTTATAAATGTCTTGTCTAGTGTTTTTTATTCCAATATTTTTTTAATCCATTTCAGATTCTTCCATTTCTGTATTTCCACCAATTTCTTGTAATTGTTGGAATGCATTAAGCATTCCAAGTATTGTTCTTCTATTCTTTATTCCGACTTATTCTTATTCTATTTATTCCGCCGCACCTTTCAACTCCTTCACACTTTCAGCTATTAAAGGTGCAATATTCAGCTTTGCCAATCTTTCAGCTACAGACAACGTTTCAACTTTCAAATGTTGACACAAGTCGTTAGTAGTTTTTCGCTCAGTTTCTGAGTTTTACATGAGTGTGTATTGCGTTTCTTAGAGGGACAGCTGGAGACGCTAGAGTGTAGAGCAGCGTCAGAATCTGGTTTAAAAAATATGAAACTTCAGTCCTCAGAGCCAAAGTATACACTTTTGAGGCTTCATATCTTTGGATTAATGATGGCATGGTTGTGCTGAATGAATAATGTGTTCATGGAATCCCAGAGTTCTTTAGTTTTGGCTTCCGGAGTGTTAAAGTGACACAACCTCTGCCAAAAGCCCCATAGGCTCCAATACAAATCTGGCGACATATTTCTCAAAAAATCCAGAAGTTACATGTAGCAGTATGTAAATAGGATTGTCCTGCTACAGTTAACTGCGCCTGCCGACCACTAGGGCGGCGGTAGTATATAAAGGCTACCCCCCTTCTCGCGCCCCACTGATGCATCATTTCCGGGTCAGGTGTCTGTCTGCACAGAGTAGTGACAGAGTGCTCCGTGCACCGTGCTCCTTTTTGCTCTTTGGTCCTCTCAACCGGTGGTAAGTGTCCTCTCGTTCTCTCTCTCCGTGTTAGACCGAACAATATTCTGTAGCTAATGTTAGTGTGGTCACAGGTAGATGTCTTCCTGCCGTGTGGGTCTTTCTCTCCCTCCCTCTCCCTGTACAGGTTTGACCTGGGAAATAGGTACGTGACTAAAACTAGCTTCCAAAAAGCTTTGACATGTAGCTTGGCAATGCTAACTTTATGTTCATTGACAGGGAATGCTCATCAGCTGGCCGAAATCCACAGGTGGTGATTGATGTGACAGCACTATCAGTTGATTAGGGCCACTGCTGCTTTGACTGCTGCTAAATGCAACTTTGCCTGCTTTGACTAATTTGACTGCTGCTAAATGCAACTTTGCCTGCTGCTAACTGCTGCTTTGCCTGCTGCTTTCTGATTGTGGGTGATTTTTCTGTAAAAGATATGAAAAGTAGTAACGACACCAAAGTACTCTGCTTTCCGAAGGATATGGTGTCTGACTTGGAAGAAAGAATTTTGGAAATTGTGGCTGAACACCCAACTGTGAAAATTTTTATTCTGCACATTGGCTCTAATGACATTGAAAAACAACAATCAGAAAAGTTGAAAGAGCACTTCGATAATCTCTTAGAAACAGTCAGCTCTGTGAATGCTGAGGTGTTCATCAGTGGTCCTCTGCCCCCGACCGGGAGAGGAGCTGAGCTGAGAGATTCAGTAGATTGTTTTGGCTCAACAAATGGCTCTTAACTGCATGTGCAGTTCGTTCAATGCATTCTATCAACAATTTTAGCTTTTTCTGGGACCGCAGGCATCTTTTTAAGACAAATGGACTTTGCCTGAATAAGATAGGAGCAAAGCTTTTCATTACCAACATGTTTTACATCATGCGTCATCCATCTGTCCCCACTGCCAAGGACACGAGACAAGAAGAGGAGCCCACAAAGAAGGAAGAGAAAACACAGCTTTTCAGAAACGTCGAAGGAGGACCGCCATTGCCATCCCCCTCTAACTCTCCTTCCATTACGTGTGAGGATCCCTCTCCCACCCCCCCAGATCCCCCATCCAGGTCCACGTCTCCCTTTTTCTCCCTCCCTTCAGTAAACCTTTCTCCCCTCTCCTCCCCTTTGGAGTTACCCCCACTTACCCCCCGCCCTACTCCTATTTTTACTCCCTTAGATTGACCACAGCGCCCTCCCCCCCAGCGTCCACCTGCACCAGCTCATCTCAGCGGTGACGCCATCTCACGGCGATCTGCCCCCCCCCACCTCTACGAAGACGTGCTCCACAATCCATCCCAGCTGCGACGCTGCTCACTCCCCCCACTTAGGCCCACCCCCTCCTCCTTCTGACAGCAGCCCTGAATATTACTGAGATAGAAAAGGGTTCAGCAATAGACCGCAGTATCAGCTGGACCCAAGGTCACCTACATCAAAAAAAGGCACCTTCTGCATTCCTGTTGTGACCACCAAGAGAGTGAACATTGCGAAACTTAGACACACTGCTAATCTAATTAATCTCATTCCTATTCTCTCCAGCTCAAAGTCAACCCCAAAACCTGTGAATAACTGCTTAATGTTAGGTCTCTTGATAACCAATCGTTTTTAGTCAATGATTTTATTACCACTTTTAAACTTGATTTCATGTTTTTAACTGAAACATGGCTAGAACAAAATAACAGTGCAAGCATTCTGATTGAGGCAGCACCCCCCAACTATAACTTTATTGATGTATGTAGATCTGGAAAAAGAGGTGGAGGAGTTGCTGCTATATTTAAAAATGTATTTCAGGGGAAACAGATGTCACTTAGTGATTTTCCATCATTCGAATATCTTGGTGTTGTATTGAAAGGTTCTCCCAGAGTTCTCCTGTTAATTATTTACAGGCCACCTAAATATGAATTATTGTCTAGCATCTCTACCGACTTTGACTGTCTAGTTTTAACTGGTGACTTTAATTTTCATACTGACGATTTGATACTGTCTCAACATGTGAAAGAGGCTACTCATTGTAAGGGACACACCCTGGACCTGATTATCACAAAAGGTCTCATTGTTTTGGATGTTTTTGTGACTGATCCCTCATTGTCTCACCACTTCTGTGTTTTCCTTAATCTTTCTTTAATTCCTGGCACACAATCAAAATCATATACTGTCAAAAAACGGTACATCAATGAACATACTAATGTACTCTTTAAAAATGTAATCTCCTCGTTACCACCTCTAATCCCATGTCATGTTGATAATCTTGTAAACAACTTTAATTCCAAAATTTTGAATGTTATAGATGACATTGCACCTGTTACGGTTAAAACCAGTTCTAGTAAGCAAAAGGCACCCTGGAGAAAAGATGCTGTTGTAACAGCCCAGAGAAGAGAGTGCAGGAAGGCTGAACGAATCTGGTGGAATACAAAACTTCATATTCCCCATGACATCTATAAAGAGCGCCTCCGGGCCTACAATTTAGACTTAAAAAGTGCTAGGGAAACATTCTTCTCCAACATCATTAACAACAACACTAATAAGGCAAAAATCCTATTTGAAACTGTTGACAGACTGACCAACCCCCCAACACAAATACCACCTGAACTCCATTCCACACAGAAATGCAATGAGTTTGCGTTCTTTTATACAGATAAAATTGAAGGCATCAGACGCGCCATTAATATCTCAAACAAAAATGTTGGATCACCACCCTATTTAGGCAAAAGTAACACAGCAATGATGACAAGCTTTAATGCCATAGACTCTCAAACTCTAGTGGAAACGGTGACAAATTTAAAACCATCCACCTGCTGTCTTGACGCTCTACCTACTGTAGGATATTAGAAACGAATTGACGATCTGGTTCATAAAATTTATAAAAATGCATATAGTGTACAACAGAATACTGCCATGATTCTGAAACTGTGTAATCAATAAAGTAATGACAATATTGTAAAACCACTGTAATTCTGCACTGTAGTAGAATAATACCAATGCAGTTATGATTGTATTTGATGTAATGTAATCAACTGGAATGCTTGCATGTAATACTTGAACAACAACTGATATTGACTAAGGATCATTCGAAATCCGAGTTACATTGAACTCACCAGAAGACCACTCCCAGAGGTGTGGACACTAACTTTCACACCTTTAAGCATTGTTATAAATACTTGTGGGAACCATTGTTCTCGAGTTCGCTGGTGGAGGCTACAGATGGGCACTAGGGATGGTCAAAAGGACTGACCTGGGGCCCGTTGGTTGCTGAGACCAGCGGCTCCTCAGCTGAGATGTTCTTTTTACCACAACGCCATCTCCTTTATTAAATACATTTGATTTTAACCTTTTGATCAGCGATGACCTCTGTCCGTCCGGCGTTTCTTCATTTTTGAACACAACAATTTGGTGACCCCGACGTGATGAGGACCAATGGACGGACAGAGGAACAGCTGATCTGAGCAAAGCCCAGCAATCGATTTTCTTCACTCACACGGCGCCATCGAAAAGGTAACCGGCAACCAGTTGTTTTAAAACCGAAATGCTGTATAGTTTATCATAGAACATTTAGGTGTGAGTGGACAAGATACGATGTTTTGAGGTAAACTACATTTTAGAGAAAAAATGTTTTCTCTTAGCTGGAATGGCCGTTGTGATAAAAAGCACATTGTATATAGTGTTTGTTTGGACGTCTCTGTGTGTGTTACCGACAAAGCTCGGTTGTGTAGCGTTAACGTTAAGTGAATGGGCAACGTTATTTAACTGATCAGTCATAGAATGAATGGATACCTAGTATAGGCCTCTAACCGGTTGGGGATAAACGTATAGCAATTTATAGACTGCATACGTAATGCACTGTGTATAACGTGCTAGCAGAGTTAAGTCCACAAGGCCTGTTGGAACCAGAGTCGTGTTACCAGCAGTAATTGAGTGGAAGAGGTTCGCGTTGTAATGGCGGTTCTTCGTTGTCTCCGTAAGCTCTCTTAGACTCTGTTAGGCGGCAAAATATGAACTAGACGACGCCAATGAGGCTAGATACCAAGATTAAAAAAATTTGGAACTTGTGAGGACAGAGCCACGCGCCGTAAAAATAATAAGATAAGAAATAGGTCATCATATAACTCGCCTTGCAGGTGAGGACAGTGTTACGAACCAGAGCGCCAAGACCCTCAAGGCTGGAGTTCCAATTTAAATTTGAAAAAGGTGAGGATAGTGCCACGGCCGTCTGCCAAGACCCGAAAATAATAAATTACTGGATAAATTGTTACAATAAATATAGATCAGTTGAAAACGTTGCGAACTTGTATATAATTGTATGTTGCATGTTTCGAAAAGAATGAAGCCGGATTAAGGATTTGATTGGGGCCTGGTCTTGGGGAAAACGGAGCACGCGTGTTTTTGGAAAATTACAAGATGGCGGACGGAGATAAATAGAGAAAATGGTTAAAAGATGGCTGAAAAAGAAATTCTCAGCACGGTCTACAGAGGGGATAGCAATGACTTGTTATCCATCACTACTGGGGGTGGAGAACATGTGTTTTGGAGATCTCCAAAATGGCAGCCGGCGACCGTTAAAAGCCCACCTCCCCTGCCTCCATTTCCAAATGATTCTAACATTTTTTTCTTCCTCCATTCTTAGGACCATGTGATTTTTGCTTGCATTACAAACGGTCTATCGACTTTTTCTAGGCTCTATGCGATTCTTTATGTTTTAACGTTTATATAATTGTTCTCTGCTTATATTAACACAATTTTCCCATTTATTGTTTAACCATTTTTACAATTACTGAGTCTGATCAGAGTCTGCAACACATCACACACAGACACACACAGCAGCACACCTGAAGATGCACATTAGCATGCACATTAGCACACACACCCTTGGGACTTGGGCAAGAGACAAAGGACAGGACGCTGTCTGTGGAGCCGGTCTGGTAAGACAAAAGGGAGTCTTTCCGAGAGAGGTGCGACCCATAGGGACGTAGAGACGGTCAACAGTCCAGTGGGTGAATATATGTAAATAGTTAGCACAGAGGGAGACGTTTAAATGAGTGGGAAATAATGTGATTTGAGCCAAATCTGTAGACCTTGTTGTAATAATTTGTTATTTTCTCTGCTGCAAGTTGTTGAGTGTGGATATGAGATGTACAGTGCACGGTACATCTCATACAGCATCTTAATGACGGAAGCAAATTTTAGGTCATAGGATAACATTAGTAAAAGGCAGTACAGAACAGAAACTTTGTTACAGACCATCATCCTGTAATGATTTTATCAACAAACCATACACACATGTAACTACATATTATATATTGATATCATTTTCATTAGGAATGCATGAATGTTCTAGATCACTAACAAACCATGAGTTGAGTTTTGAGTTCACAGGTAGAGAACGCAGGTAACATTAAGTGTTGCTGTAACCCCCGAAAGCGGCTGCAGCCCTGACGACTGAGAATGCAAAAGCAAGTCCAATTGTGATGGAAAGTCACAAGGCAATGGTAAACTGCATCACACACATCCTGGAGCCCAGAGAGGCTGCGAGGAGAAGAGGAGGAAGCAGCGAACGGACTGGTAAGATGCAGAGGTAAAAGGGTGCAGACAGCTGATCAACAGGAGGGACTTAGCAGGTCTCCCAATACAACAACAAACGGGATAAGCATAACTATTTTTTACAGGGGTTCTGTTGAGAGTAACGTGGTCTTAGAGTCCCGGATCAGAATTCGAAAACCACACACACTGTTTGAATGCAAATATTCTGTGTATCATGCTTTAATCATTTTTCTCTATCACTGCAAAGGGACTGTTGTTTTCTTAATTTCTGTTTTTTCAATTTAAAGGAAGAGCTCGCCAGCCGGCGTCGAACTTTGAGACAATGCAAAGAAGTCTGAAGCTGACCTGATGCTGATTATGACACATTTATTTTGAGACATGTGTTAAAATAACACATGCCTCAACAGGAGGGATGTAGATATAGAAATATTTTTCCAACTTGAACGATGGGAAAACTTAACAAAAGAAATTACTAAAAGAAAGATTTAGATACCGGAGGAGGAACACCTGGGAAGAGCACCAACACACACACACACACACACACACACACACACACACACACACACACACACACACACACACACACAGGAACCCCATTGTGCTTCTCTATTCAACAGCTGACCAGGGAATCCTGATCTTCCAACACCTCGGATCCCCCGATCAGTCTGGTCACAGGACCTGCGAGTTTCTCAGGATCAAGAAGAGAGTGGATCTCAATCACACGTCAATGACGACCACTACGCGTCGCCTGACCAAGCCTTTGATAACAAGAGGAAGTATACACTCATGCATAATCCCACAAACACTTTAGTTTTTGTACAAGTTATTACCACACAACTTCAAGTAATTAATTAAGGAAAGGGACAGAAACCCCTCATTTAAATCCAAGCTAAAATTATTGAGATATACAAGCAAATACACACGGTTGATATTATTGTGAGAACAAGAGATCAAGGTTCTTGATTGATAATGTCCAAACATTTCCCTGATATAGAACTATACAGCAGATAGACATATTCACATTGAACATCTGGTCGGACGATGAAAGAGATTCACCTTTCCGTTGAGTCGTACTTATTAAGATAACAGTATTGTCCAGATTAAACAAAACATAACTATAGACACAGTGAACAACAGACAGGAATGCATCACCAATAATTGATAAACTACATTAACCTAAAACCCACATCAGTAGAATGGAAGCTATGGGAATACCTGGGGGGTGTCTAATGAGTTTCAAGTCACACACAGGATCTAGAAGACGCAGAGAGGGATGACACAGAACAGGAGAGACCACCTGTCAACAACCTGAGCGGCGCCAAAGGAACCGTGAGCAGTGACCAAACAACCGTCATCTCGCTGAGAGGAAGGACTTCCTCAGCCCAGAGTCTGCTTGACCACCGTGCAGGACCAGGAGGAGGCATCAGGAC